CTTCAGATATTGAAGCCCTTTGTTGTATCCTCAATGGCTTATGTGATCTCCTCAGCTACCGATGCAATGAATCCATGAGACGGGTGGGTTATTGTAGGATGAATGGGTGTTGCACAACTTTTGCAATAATTTTTTAATTCCTCATTTGTTTATTTGTAGAGTATTCTTTTGGAATTCTTGAAATGCATGTCGTTACATGGTGTTACCTTCCACTATATTCTCGATTCACGTGCTAGCATGTTTCTGGCCAGAGAAGAGTACAACGGGAAATATCCAGCTACAAATGATATCAACCAATTGTAAGTCATAGTCTATAAGTTTAGGTTATATGGTTATAGTTACCTCTGTCCTAGCGCAAACCGAATCCTCACAGTTTATGCTTTTTTTCAACATCAACATCTTTACATCGCTAGTGTTCATATTTTATTTAGTTTCCATAGCTTATCTGCTCTTGAATACGGTCTTCGCGCAGCTATCTGGTCATTTCACAACATTCAAATGGGCATTCTAGCTCTCCACTCATCATCACCTTTGTAAGTTCTTCATCACTATCCGAAATCGTATTTATTCCTTAACTGATTTCGTTATCTTACGCTCCGTCACCCATTTTTATGTTTTTGCAACGAAATTGATAGGGAAGTTCCATATTTATCGTTTATAGTAGGCATGGAAATGTAGTCTTATGTTTTCAATTTCACACTTCTGGCTTGGCACAAATTTTGCAATTCCTTCCCATTTTATGAAATTTTTTTTATATAACTCTTCGATTTCATTTGAGAGTGCAGAGAAGCACATCTCTACAACGCCTAAGGTATCAGATATGTATGGCTAGTAGAAGACTAAATTACAGAGCTGTAATGACCCAATTAGGTAAGTATAGGTTCATACTTAATGATGTTCCTATCTAATCAAACTTCTAGCTAATTCCGAGCTTCTTCGGATGGTATCTGAGACAATTGAGAAATCGAAGCAAGGATGGAATGAATTAAATTACAAAATTCAGTTTTTGATCTACTACGACAGCCCCATCGCCTTTTTCATGGCGTTACAATCCACGTTGGCTAAGAAACATGTGAGTGTTTTCATCAATAAAAACGTAAATTCAAATAATTTGTTACTATTATGAATGGTATGAAGGTATGGTGAAATGGAATGACGCTTTTCTTTAAGCATATCTAACTGGAAATTTCTATTTATAAGCTTTTTTTATGCAGGAGAAATCTTTTGACATGGGTAACCGCCTTGTTTTACTAGCAACTATGCAGGCGATGATTTACACAACAACCACGTGAGTTTTTGTTTGCCCTGATAGATCTTCTGTTTTTGTTCCTAAATTTATTTAGTTTTGTTATAAAAATCTTGGCTTTATCTTTTTTCAGCGCTAAAAACACCATTCTAATGCAACTGAGCGAAGCG